ATTTCTTTATGAGTTTATACATGTTATAAATGATGTATTTTCATATCTGAGTATTGATGGAACCTAGAAACATGCCTTAGAATCCTTAAACAACAAAGATTTAGGTTCACAGTAGAATTCTCGGTTGAATTACGTAAACAGTATTTGATTTGTTGATAGTGCTCGAGCCTTGGGGGCAAAGCTCGAGCCATGGGTGAAAAGCTCGAGCTTGAAAAGGAAAGCTCGAGCTTGAAAGGAAAAGCTCGAGCCTTGGATGTAAAGCTCGAGCAATTGGGATGTAAAGCTCGAGCCTGAAGTAGGAAGCTGGAGCAATTAGGACAAAAGCTTGAGCATTACTTGGGAGGTCTCGTAAAGAGCATTGAATTAATTTTAATTAAATTTAAGGGGTCCTAAACATCAAATAAGGACAAGATATGAGTTTAAATAAATTCTAAACAAACTTAAATATCTCAATGCATGTTATTTGATTCTTTGAGGAGTGAATGGGTTTAATCTTTATTTTGTTCTAACAATTAAGATTAAATGTGTAGCATGAATTCTATTGGGAGAATGCTTACTTGACGGTATAATAAAATATCAGCATATTTAAAAATCAATTTATGTTAGGATATGTGATGTAGGAAGCTTAAATAAATTATAAGTCATTCTTAATTTTGTGAAAGCATAATATAATATTATTATGTTTTGATGTACTTCTTAATTGTTACATCAACTATTGGATTGTGAGGATGTAGTGCACTAGTATAGGATGGTGGCACTTTAGGGATGGATTAACTTATCAGTTAAGTCCTACCTATTTTATAAGGGAATGGATTAACTAAAATATTAAATCCTACTTATATTTATGTCAGGTCAACTGAACAAGTTGGATAATACATAGTGGATTACTTTAGATTGGATTGAATAAATTATATATATATATATATATATATAGACATATGCCATGATATGAGCTTGAGCCTCAAGATCAATGGTTAGGGTGCATATATTGCCATGGATTTGTAGCTAGATATAGTGTGGTTATGTGCCCTGGTAAGTCTTGGTACTCATGCTCACGATATGTGCATTTTGCATATTACTTACTATTCAGGTTGAGGCAACCCTATAGTCTAGTAAGGTTCCTTTAGTTTGTATATGTTATATGGACCATATAGTTATTGCATGGGTTAGTTATAGATATATAGTTTCTCTGGTCTCTGTTTGGGTTGTCGTAGAAAGAACTTGTTCGTGGCCTGACCCACTATTATTATTTTTTTCATTTGTTCGTCAGTTTCAGGCATAGAGCTTGTTTGTGCTGAGCAGAGACATTCCACATCACTCTTCCGATTCTACGTAAGATTCTCTTTATGTTTTAGTTTTGGGATTATATTTCCTTTCAGCTATTTTCAATTGGGTTGTCATTAGGGGTCCACTAGATAGATTCCCGAGATGTAATGCTATTAAAGGTTTTGGATATTTCATTTGGAGGATTATTATCTAGTTTCCTTTTCTGCTATTTTATTTATTCTTAGTTATTTCTTTTGTAATCAAATGCTTGTTTATATACTTAATTGTTTGGTATTCCTCGGATTTATGCTTCGACTTGATCACCCGTGGCTCTAAAATTGGGGGGTATCACAACAGCCTGCAAAAACAATGATGAAGAAGAAGCGCGTGGACACAAGTGAGATCTACTCATAGGAATACGTGGGCGTGAGTGAAATCTACTCACAGGAGCGCGTGGGCGCGTGTCACTCCCAGTGAACAACTAAATGTGCATGTACCAAAATCTTTGCCTGAACCTGTAGAAAATCCTTAAGAGTGTCTTCTTTTTACAGAAGATCCGATGATTTCTTAGCAAATTCCCCGTACTGCCGCTAATGGCACATGGGCTTGGTTCACCTGCCTTAATAACAGACCTAGTGAAGTTCTTGGCTAACCAAAGATGAATTATGCCAGCATTGAAACCTTAGTACAAGATAAAAAATAAAAAAAAATAAAAAAATAAAAAAAAGGAGAAATTACATAAGAAATTGACTTATCTGACAGTTGCTTTGAGTTTTGAATAGGCCATTTTTATGCTTTGAGTTTACTTTCTCTTTTTGAATATCAGTTTTTGGTCTGAAATGTTACAAAAAGGGAAAGCCAAGAAGAGAGAAAGTGAGAAAAAGAAAAATTGGGTTTCTAATTGAATTATGTCCAGGTACCCAGGTTGATCCAAAATTGGTTTTTTTTTTTTTTAATATTATATAAAATTATGACAGGTGTCAGATTGTGATAGGGCCATGTCAGATTGCAAGACAAAACTTGTCCTTATAGGGCAGGATCCAAGCATTATCCTTGTTGTTTTGTATTAAAACAAAATGATATAGGTGGATTTGAAATGTGACCGTTAGATTGTCACTATAGAAAGTGTGGATGAATTTTCTCTACGCGATCACTATTTAGAATACACACACACACACACACACTAGCAAAAGCCATGCACGTGGTCAAAACCTAAAAGTAAATTTATAATAAAAAATTTCTTTTATAAATAACTAATTAACAACTTTTTTAAATAGTTGATATTTAATATTTATAAAATCATTATAAATATATATTTATAAGAGTTCAGTTTTATTATTTCTTTTATTAAAAAATTTTATAAACAATAATTAAGTAGAATTTATAATAAAATAATTGTGATCCAAAACTAAAATAAACAATAATCAATAGAAATAATGTAGCTTCTATATGTAAAAAATAGGCTATGACCCAAAACTAAACAAAATAATAATCAAACAGAAATAATATAGCTTCGATATAATTCAAAACTCTATTCTTATATTTCAAATAGATGTTTTAATTTATTTATTTATACTGCATTTTATTATTCTTTTATAATTCTATTTATTCTTTTCAATTTTTTAAATTTTAATTAATTAATTATATTTCTTCTTTTGAGTTTAGAATTCAAGTATATTCTATTTCTATACTTTTTAATTAACTAATTAATTTATTTATAATGCATTTTAGTTTTCTTCTATAATGTTATTACTTCTTTCCAATTGAATTAATTTCCTTAATCCATATAACTATGAGTTCTAATAATAGAGTTTTGAATTGAAGTATATTCTATGTCTAGACTTTTTAATTTTTTTATAGAACTCTTACCAATCATGTATTATTTTCTAATTCTATTTTTTTATACAAAAATTAAAATTAGTAGAAGAATTTTTACCAAACATGTATTATTTTTTAATCTATAATACATACTTTATCATTACTGTATATAATTATTAAATATATACCTATTTTATTTTAATTGATAACTTTCTATTTTATTTTAATTGGTAACTTGTTTTTGTTGTTTTAGCCCTTGAAAAATTTAGATTTCGATATGTCTCTGTTTATTGATGATGTATTATATATATGTATATGTATATGTATATGCCAGCCATGATACGAGCTTGAGATATCGAGATCAGTTGTTAGGACTGATGATATATTGTTGATTTAAATGGATAGCTGGATATAGGAAATGTTTGTACCCTGGTGGAAAGGGACAATGGACCACCTGGTGTGCAACAGGAGATGCTTAGTATGTATATATGTATGTATCGATTATATAGATAGTGCATGAGTTTAGCTAGGGATGTACTGATTGTCTTCCATATCATCAATGTAGGACATTATTTCGAATTTTTGTTATTTCTCAAACTTAGTATTCTAGAGTTGCATTTGGAGGTTTATGGTTTATTGAATTAATATGGAGTATTGGTACAAGAGGATTTATTATTCATTTATTATTTAGTTTTCTTTTCAGCGTTATTTATGTATTTATTTTATTCTATCTTGTTTTTTATATTCTCGGGTCTTTGGGTGTTGCCCTAGCCAACCTGCACTTGGAACTTCGGGGGTATCACATGATTCATCTATCGAAATTAGTTGCAGCAGCTTTGGAGCATGTTTGCAATTCGCTCACTCAATGGGTCCCACTGGGCGTGCCAAAATGTTGACCCCTTAGATCGGCTAATCTTGTCGATTCAAAAAATGGCTAAGAACAAGCGGTTCTGGGTCTATTTGAGTCTCTTTTGTTAGAATTATGGATGGGGCTATTTGTGGGAGAGAGAACATGAAACTCTAAATGCCTAAAATAAGTGTGTGGCTGAAAATTGTCTTAGGAAATATTTTTTGTATCGTTGGAATGTTCAATGATTTTTAAGAAGACAATATATAGTCCAAGGGGTCTGTTGTAGAGATAAATTGAATACACAATAGAATTAAATACAAAAAGAAAAATATTTATTACTCCATTCCTTCTTCTCCCTTCACATAGAAATACAACCAACATTTCCACTTTTCCATTGGACGAATGTCCAACAATATTGTTAACTAACGATTCTAGGGTTAGTTTGTTTTAGCTCCTAGTAACCCTCTTAAAATACCAAAGATACCTACCATCATTGCCTACAAGCTGCATTATTTGATGATAAAACAAAATACCAACTGATAGATGCCTGTCAAATGTAGGCTTTTTGGCAGAACAGACTTTTGATTTGCTTTGGATTGAGGTAGAAATAAAGCTATCATTTGAAATTGCATTAATTAAAAAACAATCATTTGTGTTAAATTGCTATAAACAGTCAACAAAGTAATGAACATAGTGGTATAAATAACAAATTTGAAATACAGTTAATTTAATATGTCCTCACCTGCAAATATTGAGAAGTTCTATAATAACAAGATCAAAGCCATGCATTTAAAAGGAGTTCTCCAATAACAATTAAATTAACAATAAATTAAAGTCTCTGTCCTCATCAAACCAAATGTTACAGTAAGTCCTAATTGAAATTGTTCAGCAACTTAGAAACAATTTATTAGCACCCACATTAATAAGTGATTGTTAAGAGAGTAACAGAACTTGAACAAATAAAGAGTTTAGACACTTTTCGGTATAAAAAAATCTAGCAAGAAAAACGAAGAGAGACGTATTACCTAACACACAAGTGACTGGATCTCAAGACTCAAACTCGCCTTCACACACTTGCATCGTTCAACCTTCTGTTCAAAGCAATCCCGCCGGTTGAAACAATGGTCTCCAAAAAAGTCTCTGCTTCGTCAAATTGAAGACTACGGAATTGAGCATCATAGGGAATTTTTATAAGCCTATGTGTATTTTTCTCTAGATTGAATACATACAAAAAATAAGCATGCCTGAAAAATAGAATTTCATCATTGTTTGAATAATCCAAAGGTTTCACTCGATTTTGAAGAAAAAAGTGGTGGCGAATACTAGTCCAAGACTCTCGCTTGCCATATTCCTTCATTACCCAAGATTCAGTATAGCAAATAGGATCATCTAATCTAGTTAGGCAGACACAAGGACATCCTTTGAAAGCTGAAAAGAAGTAATCTTGAGTTCGTGTTTCGAAATCAGGTAAAAGAAAATATTGAAATTTCTCGTCCGCTAAATTGAGAGAAACAATCTTACTCTTATCCTTAGTTAACCAATGGAGAGCTCCATTCAGAAGTGTTGCAGGTTCAATGGACATAACTTGGTAAGGAATGTCTTGAATCCTTCTCCAAACATTTGTTTTTGATGTATATACGGATGCTGTATTTTCATCAGATGGAGAAGATGAGATTTCAACAATCTTGTAATCATCGGTGGACCCATCATAGCCAAATCCATAAGAAGGAAAAGATGTATTGAATGGTGATTCTGATAATGTTTGAAATTCTCTAGTTGAAGGATTCACCATGTGAAGGAATCGATCATCAGTTAAACATAATATCAATCCATCACAAGAACCTAGGATTCTGATCGAAGATGATTCAGCAGCCGGGAACTGAAGTAGAGAATCAACGTGGATCTTACGCGGCTCATCAATATTGTCACTCGAAAATACAACCAGTCTCATACCATAATTGAATTCCGAACCTTTACATGGAAAAACAAGTTTCTTGCGCTTGTGGGATCGATTTAGGTGCATCTTCACAAAGAATGGATCTGTGAATAAAGTGAGCCAAGACTTTGATACAGACTTAAACCGTACGAGAGACTTGACGGGTAGGCGTGAGAGTATCTCCAGTATGAGATGACGAGGAAGGATGGGTAAAGACTCATCTCTTTTTTCTATCTTCTTCATAGCCTTCTTTCCTCTTCCTTCTTTGTCTTTCTTTTTCCTATCGTATTTGTTTTCCCGATGCCGATTCATCATCTTGTTAAAAGACATATCAGTTTTGGGTGTTTGACCTTCTTCATAGTCATCTAATGCTCCTTGTTCGTTCATGTTCTCAACACTAGTCTTTTGTTTATCTGATCCCACATTTATCTCCATAACATCTTCTATTTTTTATCAAATAAATATATAAAATTATTGTCAATATAAAATATAAAAAATATATTTTCAGCCAATTAAAAAAACAATTAGAAAGAAATTATTATACATTCCAATTAAGTATTTCATTCATGGTAAACTAAATTATATATGTTGTTCAATAAAATATAAAGCAGAACAATAAGCTGTTATGTAGGACCTTGAAAGTTGAAACACTAAAATCATTATATTTTCATTTGAATGTGAGATCATAATCAATTATTTATTTTGCAGTTTTACCCAGAAAGTTGTTTCCATGAATTAATGAATGGTCGAAATCAGAAGAGCAAATGAAGGTGCAGACTTAGGGGAAGTTTTGTAAGTGTGAAGCAAGGTTGTTAAAATTGAGATTTTAAATAAAATCATTTTGAACTCCGTAGTATCGGATAGTAAATAGTAAGATTCTGTCAAAATGTAAAAAAATAATTAAAATTAGTTACTTAAACAATAATATGTGTAAAATATAGCAATAATAAGGCCAAAACATCAAAATAATAATAATAATAATAATACTTCTAAAGTCTGAATATATTATAAAATAAAAATCAGAATGTTAAAATAATTCCAACCAAAGAGTGATGGGTATGTTTTTTGGATGGTATCTAAGCTACAGTTTAAGTTGAAGCAAACTGGCCCAAAGACCCCAAAAAAATATAAATCAGTGGCTTTTTTCCCAGAAATATTCTAGATGTCGATAATGTACATGAGCTATAACTTGGGCTGAAGCAAACTTTCCAAAGGACAGATGAGAGGAGGCAGACAACAGCGATGGAAACTACCACATGCTTGTCGGCAACTAGAAAAAAGAAAAGAAAGATGCCTCCCATCATCACTTAGTCCGGTGGTTTAGGTGGCGGCTGAGATGCAGCGAAGCCATTTTCCCATTCCTTCATAGCCAGGTGAGCCTCCAATCATGTCCCTTTGCAAGATGCTTTCTTATTTTGTATCCCAACCATCAAAAGAAGGAACCAGCCAACAAAAAAAAAGGTCTCAAACAAGAAATCAAGTAGAATTGATGGAATCGCATGATTCTATGCGATTCTGATTTCACTGCTTCTATCCCGATTCTAATAATTGAATGATTTTGTTAAGATTTGGATTGATTTTGGATTTTGAATCGTAGAATCGCACGACTCAAAATCGGGATTTTGATAACCATGGTGTGAAGTTATCCACCAAAATGCGAATTACTCAAACAGAAAATAAATTATAATTAAAAGGATTGATACATTCAATTCAATTGTAAAAGGATTGAAAGGATTGATACATTCAATTCAAATTCTGGATGAAAAAAAAAATTTGCTGTAAATCGAAGCTTTTAATAGACTTTCTAATATTATGAAAGAAAAAAATAAATAAATAAATAAATAAATTAGACCTTCAGGAATTATGATAAAGGATATGGTGAATTAGTAATAGTATCATTGCACTACATTAATAAAATGTACTACTATGCAACACTATATATATATATATATATATATATATACACACACACATATTTATAGATGTATGTATTAAAAGTATCGATATTGTTTGGTGTCTATGTGATTAAAAGCATTTGGGCAATATAAGAATCTCTTCATTATACATGTATTGCTTCCCGTACATATACAACTAAATCATAAGAACCTATATATATTGACGGAAAACATACCTTCAAAAACGAGAACGATTGTCCCTAGCCATATGTGAAAAACAACTGTGATGAAGGAGAAATTGATTTCGTAACCCAAAACATGAAAGATGAAGGAGAAGGGCTCTCTATAGTATAATATTAGGGTTTAAGGGTTTCAGATACGTTATTTATTTATTTATTTATTATTATTATTATTTTATCTTACCAAATAAAAGACACACTAGTTATGAAAGTTAGATGCTTTATCAACTAAGGTTATGGGTAATGAATGCCCATGTGAGTTTTTATTGTTAATTAAACATTATTTCTGAAATTCTTTTAGGGCTTTTAGGGAGGTTAAATCCGCACTTTACTTTTTAACATTTGTACTATAATTTTAAATAACTTTATAAATAAATAATTATTACTTTTTAAATGACATAACTACCATTCCAAATTTTCTCTCCTTATCTTTAATCTTTAATATTTAAAGTATCTTTTGACAACACAAATAAAATAAAAGAAATTGAATAAATTTCTTTTAAAGGGACCAAAATTTTGTTTTGTTTTTTTTTTTTTTTTCTTTTTTTTTTTTTTGTTAAGTTGAAAAAATTGCCTCTTTTTACCAGACCAAAAAAATAATAAGTAACCATTAAAAAAATTGTCTCTTTTGACATGAAAAAAAAAAATCATTAAAAAAATATAGTTATTGAAGAAATTATCTCTGTTGTTGAGATCCCAAAAAAATAAAAAATAAATACAAAAGGCAGCCGTTATAGCCATTGGAGTGCTTTATTTTCATCCACCAGCTATATTTTAAGTTTGAGAGCCCATTTGAGAGGATATTGGAGATGCTCTGACCCACAACACAGAGTTCAAACTTTAGTGGAGCTACGGCCCTTTTTAGTTAAGAGCAATGATACATCCTCCGAATTTGAGTAATGAGTAACGAGAAATACATGAAAATATCATGTGATAGAACTCACACCCCACTCAAAAATCCTTCGAACTAAAATCAGAGTTAAGTCGGGCTTAGAAGTGACATATATATATATATACATATTTCACGCAAAGAACTCAAACAATGTCTTCATTTTTTTTCCTTTAATTTCACAGTGTTCTTGAATCGAATCATCTCTCACTTTAAAAGAAGAGAAGATATCACTAAACCACATGCCTTGATAACTTAATTCGAACTCAATATTCGATCTCTCACCAACTACCCAGTGGCCCTATAGTGGTACCAAACCCCTACTTTTCAAAGGGAGGTCAGGGTTCAAGCCTTAGTGGAGGTATGAATGCGTGAGTGAGTATAGTACATCAGTTCATACGAATAGAACGGATAACGAGATGGCTTACCTAGATAGAAGTGGTGATTCACACTTTATATCAAGTTCTGTTTGGTGGAAGCGAATGTGGAAAATGGATGCTCTCAACAACTGATAGGGTAAGTAATCTTTCGATTAGTTGTTGAGTTATCAGTTTAATCTGTGACATATATAATAACACTAGTTATTATTAAGGTAACTAAGGAGGTCAACTTAGAATATTGAAGCTAACCTTGTAGTAGGTATTACCTTACTTAAACAAAGCTTAAGGCACTGAAGGAGAATTAGTAGATTTTGTAAATGACGTTGTGGAGGTCGGAGTGACTGAGATGTAAAATTTAAATTTTTTTGGTGCACTCAAATGATTATAAGGTACATCAAAACATCAAATGTCAGTTTTGGTGAACAGGTATGGGTAGGGACATGTATATAATTGTCTCAATGTGTAAAACCTGTTAAAAATGGTAGAAAAATTGTTAATTGAATATAATTGGGAATTTTGCCACTTATATCAAAATAGGAGTAGGACTAATTAGGAGTGGACGGTCGGTAGGAATTATTGACATAAATTGGAATTTTAGTTCCATATGGGTTCAAAGTGATGGATTGAGCAAGTTGCGCTTGTGGACATTAATCCGAGTAGTGTTCACTGTAGAGCTTCAATATCAGTTCTACACTGCACTAATAATGGAGTTATAGCATGTGAATATCCATTATAGTGGATGGAAGTGCTATTTTAAAGGAACTTTATGGGTTTTGGAGAAGCAACTTTGCTTCATATCTCTAGATGGAGAAATTGATTGAGAGATTTAATTTGATCATGGAGGATATGCTTGAAGCATATATCATAGGTTTTCATGGACAATCGAAAGTATTTACTTCGCTTTTCGGAATTTTGTCTGTCATAATGTTGGCATATATTGGTATGACAACGTTGGAGGTTTTGTATATTACATAATGCAAACCTCATATTTGTTGGTTTAAAAGTTGAAGCAAGAGGCGTACAATCAAACCTTGACTTCATTAAGGAGACGTCAGAGAGAAATACCCTCCTTTGTAATAGTTTGCGTGGTAAATTATGAAAGACATTATTAATTAATAATTCAAATTAATTATTAAAGCACCAAAATACACATTTAATTCAAAAATAGAACTCTAATGACCCAAACACTAAGAGTACAAAAATTTTGGACATAGCCTAATATTAGATATGACTCTCTGCAAAATTTCAGAATCTAACTCTTGATATCCTTTTTGTACTCTCCGTCTTAGTGCTGAAAATAATACATTTCCGGGCTTAAATTTCGTAAAACTAACAAACAGTCATTTTAAAATATGGATTTTAGCACAAATAAGTTCATTATACTTAAAACTAATATTCTAGAATTTAACACAATTTTTGAAATATTTAAAACATTTTTTCTTAATTTTCTAATGTAAAACTAATAAAAAAAATAATAGTTAAATATATTATTTTATTTCGGTTGAACCCGGGTGTGCCCAATAGACTAAGCTTGGCAAATGGTTTCCATTGATAATTTCTGATTGTTGAACCGCTGTCCCACGACTACTCACCTTCCCCCACTCTTTTGCACCGAGAGTGGCTTTATTAATAGGACACCAAAATGGGTCTCTTTACACTCGATCAGTTCTACAATTTCCCATCTACTACCAATTTGATATCTACCCAAATTGATACACGTCCTTTTGATTATTAAATCCCATTGCTCAACCATGCGTGTGTATGCACATATAAATAATATATTATATATATATATATATACACGTCAAAATAGATTCTCTACTCAATTAATATATGTTAATTATATATATATACACACACACACATTTTCACACATACATAACAGTAAGCTAACATTAATAATCATCCAATAACCAATATATTGAAACAATAACAACATAGCCAATCTTTACAGCATTAACAAGATCAATAATTAAAATTTATGTAACTAAATTTTATGTAATCTTTAATAACAAAAATTTCTCTTAATTAT